CTAATGCAGGTCACTCAGTCCCACTACCTATTCCTTCTGTCCATTCAACTCTGAACTATGCTGCTTTAGTTCATTAATCAAACAAAAAAATTAAGCCAGAAAAGTAAAAATTAGAAAAAGGCCCAAGAGCCAAATCAGCTTGAAAAATGTTCTGCTGAGCACTTAAAAACTGTGCAAGGCAGGAGTGAGAACAGAGAGAGAAGAGGTTGTTAGACTGGCTCCATAACCTTGTCATTTTGTACTAGTCACTCATTCCAAATTTGTAGATACAGCTGTTAGTTCAGGTTCAAAATTATACCTAGTTATCTTTGCTGCCTATTGACTCACATGTTTTCTTTCAAGTCAAGCAAGTTCTTTAATCCATGTAAAACTATTCTTTTGTGGCACATAGACTGTACAATGTCTATTTACGTTCCATTAATGTTGTTACAGCTTTAAAAATTAACAAGAGTTTTGTGCCTTTCTGCTGTTTAGAATTTAATTTCTTTTTAAAGTGCACAGCACAAAAATAATCATATCTCTGTGTGTGTGTAAATATATGCACACATGATACAGATATATTTTTAGTTCTACAAATGTCCTATTAGTTTAGTAAGCCAGATGCTTCTACATGGAAATAAAATAACAAAATAACTGTGGAGCTTTATGTTTGTCTACAGAGCTCTAATCTTGAAAAAAATGTCATGTTACAATACTATGACAGAACATTTCATGTAAATGACAGAATTAAATTATGGAAAAAAATAGTTAATATTTCTGAACTTTTGAGCCTTCCAGACACCAGACAGACATTTTGAAATTCATCTCTAATTAACAACAAGAATTTTACTTTACTTAGATAATTATCCAATGTTGAATTTTCTGGACTATCTCTCTTTCTTTCCCTTTCTAACATAAAAAAACCAGCTAAAGTGGAAATAAATGTGTAACAGTAATGTATTATAAAATCAGTTTTGGAAAGAAGAATGTATTTTCTTAAGAGGAATATGCATAAGGCAATCAATGTCGAGAGGAAGTGTATTTGAAAATAGCAATGCTGTAAAGTGATAAAAGATCAAACACTAAACTGAAAGTGCTGGGGAAGATTTCACTGTAAACAAGAAGCTTGTAACACTGATGATATGCAAGCTGATTTATAGGCAATACAAATATACAGTCATGAGTTCACAGGATGCCAACAGTGTGATGCTGCTCTCCTCAACTATAGGAACACCACCCACCCTCCAGCAAAGAAAAATGTAAACCAGTGACTGAGGTATTTTAAGAACAAAAGCAAGTGCTTCCTCGCCCCAGAGTGACAACAGGATATGAATTAGTGCCAGAGGTAAAGTAAAAGTGAAGTTAACTCAACTTTAATCTAGAACATAGCATTCGAGAAATCAGTGGGGGGCAGGGGGGGTGGGTGTGCCAATATGCTATATTTACCAGTTTGATGCAACGAACGTTTGTGCTTCTGGCAAACTTTTTGTTTCAGCACCTGAATCGACATTTCCATTCGTTCAGCTGCTTGGGAAATATCTTGACTCTCTTGCTCAGGAAATTTTGAGAAAGCCAGAAGCAAGGTAGGGGTTGCTATTCCACTTCCTTGGATTTTTCTATATTTGAGATAAAATACAGAAGGTTTGCAACTTTTTAGAACTTCAGAATTTTTCATAGCTTTTTTGTCTGTGTTGGATATGTTGCAAGTTAAGGTACATTTTGATTGAAGGGTACACTGGGAAAGCAAAGAGGAAGACTACTTTGTGATCTTGCTTTGCAAGGAAAATTCAGAAAGGGAAAGTGTTCTTCCATTGGACACAGACAACAAAAGTTAAGTTTGTGGGAAGCCTTTAGGATGAGACAGAAACTGCTGGGATGAACAGAGCTTGCAGCTGGGAGGACCTTGTGCAGGACAGTCCCAATAGAGGGCTCCCTACTCGCTGCTTTGAGTAGGCTTTGCTTTCATGCGATGTTTAGTACCAATGACCATGTCAATCACTGGAGGTGGATTTGCAAATGCCTTAGCATCCGGGAGTCAAGCAACTGGCCCACAGATGTTTAGATGTTATCTGCAGTTTATGATAGAGACTTGTCTTCTTAGAAACTGTCCAAATACCTTCCTGGCTCTGAGTACTTTTATATGGAGTTTCAGCAATTACTTTAGTAGGGCTTACTTAGACAATTATATAGCTATATATTTTAGCTTACAGATTGGCCTTACCTCTAACTTCAAGGAGTTCAGGTTTGATGAGATAACTTCTGTAACATAAAGTTAACCACTTAAACATATGAAAACTCATTTTCCTGTAAGGGAAGTCAGACACTGCAACAGGATGCCCAGAGAGGTGATGGAGTCTCTGTCATTGGAGACATTCAAAGCCCAAATGGACAGTGTGCTGAGCAACCTGCTCTAGTTGATCCTGCTCTGAACACAGCACTGGCCTAGGTGGTCTCCAGATCTCTCTCAACCATTCCGTGGTTCACTGCAAGATTTTTTTTTTTTTTTTACTCAGCATGGGCTATCTTGCCAGTGTGGTTTTTATGGCAGAGGAGCCTTGAGAAAAGTGCATCAGAGGGAATTTCCTTTTTAGCTGGAAGACCCAAGTCCTAAACTGACTCCCTACAGCTTAGGAAAAAAACACTCCAGTCTATTCCATTTCTGGAATGGTCATAGGTTTCAGATATTTCTGAGGGCTTCTCTGCAACATAGTTATTTTTTGGATATGCAATTTTCATGAAAATGCACTGTCATATTCATTGCTGTCATATTCTTGTGCTTAAAGCGCAAGGAAATTTTAAAATGGAATTATCAGTTTTGATTTAGGCAAAGCAAACAGTTAAATTTCTGTTTGCAAAATTTGAAACATGCTTACATAAAAGGTATTAAGCAAGAAAATACAAACTCCAAAGGTTTTTCTAGATGTTTAATTTGTCCTTAATTGATCCAAAGGAGACTTAGCATGTGTATTTATTCCTTACAAAGAAACTACTTCTTTTCTTTGAAGAGCAGAGCTACTATGAAAAACAACTATCTTGCTCTTCAGCACCATGTTTTTCAGGTCTTTTATAGACAATAAAGAATTTGTCAGAGAATCTGGAGTATTAAAAGTCCTGAACTGTGTCTCAACTAAAAAGAAGAGAAAGATGACGTAACTAAATGCAAGAACTCAAGTTCAGTATTTTAATGTCTGCATGGGAATAATATCAGTCAAGCATCATTTAAGAAAACTTACATGAACAGACAAACATCTCTATACAAATGAGTTAAATGAAAATATTTGTACAAATTATCTAGGAGGTAAGAATCAAAAATAACCCATACCCTAAAATAATCCCAAAACCTAACCCCAAAATTGAACCACCATCATCTTTAAGGGCAAGATGTGTTCAGTTAAGAATATTTTATTTCTTTAATCTCACAGGCCCCATAAGATTATCACAGCAGTTATTAGTTTGCCACATTTCTTGCCCATTCTACCCCTTGCCCTTACTCAATGTATACATGCTAGTCCCTTCTAGCTCTTACCCATACTCCTAAGGCTGAACACTGTGTAAGTTGCAAACTGTCTCAGTATTTAGTAATGCAAAAATAGTCTCCTAAAGCTAGTAGAATGACCCACGATAGTATCATTATTAGGAATATGAAAATTTCAAATCCTAATTGAAACAATCATCATTTAACACCTTTTATCATTTATCATTTATAAGATATTGACCAAATAATTGTCACAGTATACTGTGAGATAAATAAACATCAGTATCTCCATTTAGTACGTGAGGCAGCTGAGCCACTGAGAAGTTGAGACTTGTGTTTTTAAATTTAAATGCCTGAGGGTTGTCATCAAAAATGAAACCACAATAAAATGAAAATGACCTCAGTCTCTACATATAGAGTGGCCACAGTTCTTGACAGGTTCTGTCCATATAAACAGTCATCTCTCACAGAGCTCTGCAAATTGTGACTCATTTTCAAATCACAGGAATAAATCCTTTAAGAAAATCCAAGAAAAAGTGTGATAATTGAACCCTGTAAAACTTAGCTGATGTATTCCAAATTCTGGAGAGAAATTAATTCTGTATAGCATAGAAATCTAGTCAGAGCTACACAGAACGTGATTTAAAGAGATCCCTCTCATAGCATAACTCCAGCACAAAGGAGCTTTCCCTAAGTTATTACCTACCCACAGTTCAAGATAAATGTTATATTTCTTTTCCTTTATCATTTCATTACATCTGTTTTAGATGGAAGGGGAAATATGAAATTCACTTTAACAGTCCAATTTAAGGCAACAGGGTTTCGACACTGAAGCCATAGGAGCTGTTCCCATCTCACTCTGCCCTGGAAAAAAAAAATTAATGTTCAAAAGTATGTAATGTCCATAAAATTATATTTCTTGAGTCACATGTTAATGGAATGTGGTATGCTATTTAGATCAGAATCACATTCCTATTTATTTTTACGTTTCTTATTTTTTTCACTTTTTAGGAGAACAATTTATATGGTGATAATGCATAAGGTTATACTGGATCAGATGATCAGTGACATAATCGTAGAATCATAGAATGGTTTGGGTTGGAAGGGATCTTAAAGATCATCTAGATCCAAACCTCCTGCCATAGGAAGGTATAGTAATACCTTCCATTCAATCAGGTTTCTCAAAGGTAATGGGTGCAGTGAATCTGTGACAATATGTTTTCTCAAAGAAACAGAAAAATTACATCATTTCTCTTATTAAAGTTTTTTGCAGAATAGATTCTTCACATCTTTTTTTTTTTTACCTGTTCATTTCATAACGTGCAGCATAATCCACCAGACTAGAACCCTTCTGGATAGCCTTAGTAATACAGTTATCTTCAATTTCTTCTTAACAGGGAAAAAAAATGAAAAGAAATACGAATATTTTAAACAATTGTGTACTTATTAAAATACTTAAAATTAGAAAATATATAGATCTCTAATATTAATGCACAATGTTTCCCCTTTAAAATCATCTCCTTATTTTAGTGTTCCTGAAATTAATATTACGGTTTCTGACCATTCTGAAAGGTAAGGTAGGAGTAGTAAATCACTTCTTCCATAATTTGTAAAGCTTGAAGAGTTAGATTTCCTTTAAGTATAAATCCAGTTTTGGACATGTTATATAGTACCAAACATAATAGGTCCAGCTGAAACATGTTGTGTTCTCTGTATGTAATTATGCTTAACTGGCTTCATATGTGTTTTTCATTAATCTGTCCTTGGATTGATAGGACAAATCTGAGCCTTCCTCACAGGTAATGTGAGCTAGGCTGAGACACATGAAGAATTCAAGTACATATTCAGGCATAATTAAAAAACTTTAAGACTTCTGGAATTGGACCAATGAATCGAAGTCCTATTCTCATTTCTTCGTCTATGTTTGATGGAAAGATATATGTGAACCTAATAATACTTCAGCTGTGCTATTTTCTATACTGCTATCATGAAACTTGGTTTAATCCTCTTTTGTACATACAACTTTAAAAGAATCAGTCACGTTTGAAGTCCAAGGGTTTAATTTCCACCTGTACTTTGTAGGATGGCCCATTTTTTCTTAGAAAATGAATAATAAAAAATAATAACAATTATTTATGTACAATTGTTTATAATTTATGTACAGTGTAATTTTAGGTGAACATATTTTATCTGTAGTCCATACTGTACTATTTCTGTGATCTTTTTTTGAGTAGGGCACTCAGCTTAATGGAAAATAATGTGTGATGAGGAGTAATCTTTGCTACGGAAAATTATACTCCACTCTCCTAAAGATCTCACCATCTAAGTACAGCAGTAGTTATTTCTCTTTTTTACCTATGCATGATAAAATATTCAGATGATTCATTTGATATTATCATATAGATTTCTGCTATATCTGAATGTCTATGTTATAAAACAAGTCTGATCTTTATAGGCAACACAACAAGTAATTATTTTAAACTTTATTATGTTTTCAATTACTTTTAGGAGGTTTACCTCTGAGAAATATAATATGCTTAAAGTATTGCTCATTATGTGATATTGGTTCCTACTCTTATCTAAAAGAGAAGATCCACTTGCTATACTTGAATTCCATTGTCTCTCTTCCTATTCTGCTGAGAAGTATGATTTTAGTACCAATACAGTGTTTTCAAAAACGTGGTTTTTGCAGTAATAAACATTATTTTATACTGTTCCCATGAGACTAAAAGGCACTCTAAAAAGAATCATGTGCAGTTCATCTTTCTATTTATTTACAGTCCATGTGTATTCATGTATGGGGCCTTCCAGAAGCTCAAGTGGGCATATAAAAGGAGGGAGAGGGACTTATATGAACAGATAGTAACAGGACAAGAGGCAATGATTTTAAACTGATCGAGGGCAGGTTGACATTAGATGTTAGGAAGAAATCCTTTACTTAAAAGGATTTAAGAGAATGTAAAGTTTGAAAATCCGGTTTCTTTACGATCTCTGCCCTAATTCCATGTAAAATCAGTCCCTGAGGATTTCTTTTAAAATTCAATCTAGTGTCTGCCTACATTTCTAGTTTACAAGATCTAACTTATTTAGATTGAACAGATGCAAATAAAACTGCTGTGATGCAAAAAATGACAAGATTGCATTGTTTGAACATAGGGACTATTGCTATCTGAGGTGCTCTAAAATCCACAGGGTGCCAGTAGCAAATGAACCCACAGGATACATGCACCCTTGTGGGCCAGCGTGCCAGGTGGGGCTTCCTATGGCAACAGCCTCTAGCCCAGGATGACTAAAGGTAATGATTAACAAATGGGGAAAGAAATCTGTCAATCACGTTTGTAAATGTATCATCTCACATATGAATATCACTAGGAAAGTAAAATCACTCCTAGTCAAAGAATAAGTGATTGAGATACGTTGTACATACAAAGTTTTATTTTGCGAGTTTATGAAGATGCATTTTAAAAGAAAACACCCATGGAATAATTCTCACAGAAGCCAGATAGTATATCTTGAACACAAAAAGAGATTAAGCTATACTGCCATTGCTAAACTGTCTCCATTGCCAGTGTATTTTCAACAGTCAACAAAAGAAAATAACATTTATTTTTACTGTTACTTACCAAAGATGGTATCTTTGCCTATCTGAAGGAAAGAAAAGAAAACAGCTGTGAAGGCTGTAGCTGCTGAAAGTCCCAAAATAATGAAAACTTTCATCTACAAGAAAGAAGAAATAATTGTTGACAAATTATATACCTTCATCTTCTAATTATAAGCCATATTATAAATAATTTCCTGGATAAAGCAAATTTTACTTTAAAATTAGTTTGACTGTGTTTTCAAAGCTCAAAGTAACTCACCTTCTCTTTTTACCTTCCTTGCTTATTACTTTTCTTTTACATTTTGAGAAGCTTCTAGGACAAGGAGACACATCTCTTTATTTTATAACATAATCTGTTCTCACGATATCAGCAGCACTTAGCCTCCATATTAGAAATTCATCAGTATTTTACCACAATTCATTTTGAACTTCTCTGTGCACTACCATGATTTGATTGTAGATTAGTGATTGCCTGTAAGATCATTAAGTGGCCAAATTACTAATAACATCACGCAGACCCCTGTAGGCTCCTATCCATATGTAACTGCGGTATCAAAGCAGCAGAACAAATATGCTCACATAACTTAGGTGAGCTGCATTCTCCGTTTCAGTGCACTGATTCTCTGGCAGTTATTACAGCAGTGAAAATATATAAACTATCCAAGAGGTAACATTTTTCACATGCACTATGTTGGTTGGAAATCAAAAGAGTTAAAATATTTTTAGCTCTATATCCTATCAACATTAAAAAATAGTAATAAATCAAGTCTGAAAATTCAGGGAAACTATACTGCCAATAGAAACTCCATGTGAAAGCACCCCTTCTTTTTACATTTCATGAATTAATATGATTAATTTCTTCTTGAAAATGGGAAGCAAAAGTTTTATTGTCTGACCTTTTGTCTGCTGAGGAGATTATCTTCCACAGTTCTGTACTTTATCGATGGCAGTAACTGTTCTGAATTATGAAAGCTAAGTACTTTCCAGGGACTCAGCTTATGCTATCAGCTTTATGCACTGGTACTCACTCAAGCTTTAACAGTGCAAATAATTTCAAAATCTTTTTGACCACAGCATGTTCCCACAAAGCAGAAACTGACGTTAATACTTGACTTATTTTTTTTTCCTGCTGGGAACCAAGAGTTACCTATGTAGTCAGTTCTTATATCAGAGTAATGTTTCTGAAAATGAGAAGAAAAAATGCTCATACTAAATATACATATATATATATTGCCATGTTATGCAGTAAAATAAACTCTGGGTATATTTTTCACTAGTTCTTCTTGTCAATGTATTTGAGAGAAACAGGAATTTCGTATCCTATTTTATGTATTCTATAATTGGCGCTTTACCAAAATGACCATTTAAGTTACGGACGATAAACCCCAGGCTGCCTGCCAACTTCCAGCACTTTTTATTTTTTTTCTTCTCTGGGGTAATTTATTTCACACTTCTGAGCCCAGATATTTTTTTTGAGTTACACTTTTCTAACTGGCTGGGGTTTTTTCTATTTCCTATACAGGCAGAGAGATCAAAATTGGATCTGGAATCAGGATTCAGGATTTCCTCATTTAATCTTTGCTGGTGTCGACAGGGAGATCACAAGGTGGAGCCAAAGATCAGTGTTTTGATCTCTGCCATATGTGATAAGTTAAGTAGGAGTTGGGTAGCAGGGAGCATCCTGGAGCTTATGGCTGTGGTATGTGGCGGTGAAAGGAAACCTACAAGCATGTGAACTGACTGGAGGAGAAACTCCATGTTGTTCTTACAGCAGTTCAGGAATATCATCCATAACCTGTTCAGTGCAAAGGTGAGTGGATACGGTTGAGAAGTAAGCACAGAGCAAAGGGAAACAGACCTCTATTGGAAAAGTAGGTTTATGCTCTTTGGTTGGGGCATTTAAGATTGCAGACATGAAGTTAAACTTGAAATACCTCTTTAATTTACATTCCAAATTGTAAATCTTTTAAGAATAAGTTTCCTTACATAAGAAAACATAAAGTAGATTGACTTCTCCCAAGACAGCAAAGCATTGAGAAAAGCAGGTCCATTCCAAACACCTAATAGAACAAGGAACTCTCACCTATATTCTTTCATAAGTACCACAGGTTTAATTTCTGACAGATTAGAGGCTTTCTGAAAGTGAAAAATGTGTTTGATTTTCTTTGCAGTTTCACAGAAAAAAATCAAAGCTTCCACATTTGGTTCAAAGAAAGCATACCTACATCAAGGTTTGTTTAAATAAGGATCTCAACCTTTGCTTGTTGGTTGCAGTTGAAATATTTGTCAACAGTTGGGTTTAAATGGTTACAGGCAGTAAATTGGTCTGTGATGAAAAAACTGAATGACAACATCTATTTTGTGTTTTTCTGATTTTAAGAGTATGAATGCTTAACTCCCCACTGAGCCACAAATACAGTTTTAGTTAAAACATACAGGAAAGCTTAATTACACTGGATTGACATGGACAGACACAGTTGTATTCCTATTCTTACTGGAGCTTATTCAGTATCCTGTTATTGAAATCTACTGAAAGACAGAGGGTAAAGTTTAGTGGCTCAAGAACAGCCTTAATTTTCTTAGTCCAAGATTCATATATTACCCACATGTCAATGCAGAAAATTTCAATGAATATCTTGCTGAATGTACCCCTTTGTCCCAGATTGTCTGTGAGCTGCCTGTCTTAAGCCATTCTTTCTGCAGAAAGGGTGTCAGACCTTTCCACCCAGCAAGGAAACTGCACAGATCAATGACAACCTAAACATGGAGTAAAGACCAGCGTAAAACAGTCCTTATGCTAAACAGCACTCTTGAGAAAAGCAACAGTGAATCTTAACAGTTAACCATATGAATATTAGTAAGCTTTAAATTAAATGACTCATTCAGTTTGTTATATTCCCAAGATTTAAATCTGCAGACGAAGAGCAGTACTGTATCTGTGTTCTTAAAAACAAAAAACCTATAAAATAAATCTTTGAGTTGATGATAAAAAGAAAATTCTGTTCAAGGAAATACTCCAAAGCAATAGAATTTCAGACTACTCACACATGAATTTCTGCAGACCTACTATGGTATTTAGAAAAATTAGCCCATACTTAAAATATTATGCAATTGCAACTGATGTTTGATACCGGAAACAGACACAATTCTATAGCCTCAAAACAACTGCATACGCACTGTAACAGCCTGCAACCCTATCAGGCTCTGTGAGGCATCAGCAGGTCTTTCAAACATTGGATTAGAATGAGAGATCTCTGACACATATCTGTGCAGCTGCAGGAGCTATTTTTGCTAGCAGATTATGCTATTTTGTAAAATTTAGTGGCAATCCTGGGCTCTAGCAAGGCATGAAGGACACTGTTGATATGGATGTCTAATCTATAACAGTCAAATTAGTTTCTGATCTCTTCTGACTTTTAAAATTCTAAGAACACTCATGCAAGAGAAGAGGCAAAAAGTGCATATAACTGCACAATACTTCAACAGAAGAAATTGTGCTGAAGTTCTAGCATAACAACATACAAACAACAGAAATAAGCCTTATTTTAATAAAATAAGCAAAATGTCACAAGTCAAAAAAGAAGAGGGTGAAAGAAATGTAGTTTAGTAGAAGAAATCGATTTAGCTGGGTTTCACTGATACCATGACTCCTGGTTACTATAAGCACTTAGTTTTTTCTGGAATTAATTTCATTTTATTACAAACTTTTTTATTTTTTTTGCTACTAATGTCTTTAGATAGAGAAGAAGACCTTGCAGAGGTCTCTCAAGCCGGAAATGGGATGACGAGGGTGAATAAGTAATGATAATTCACTGTCTATTCCAGTAAAGAACCAAGGGTCAAGAAGGTTTCAAGTAGAAAACAAACAAAAAAGGACAGTTATTTAAACAACACATGAAACAGCTTGTATATATGGTAGAAAAAAAATCATATGAGTTCATAGAAATGTCTTGACAATTTTAGGGATTATAAAGATATTAAGGCCTAAGAGATAGAAGATTTACAACAGGGACCCATGAATCACAAATTAACTATGCCTGGAATTTTTCTTGTCCTTTTTTTTAACAGGCTTCTCCCAACACTAATTATTGGGGTTTTTTTTAATCAAATGCAAAATAGGATGCTAAATGGCTTTTAGGACTAATTTTTATGCGTGATGTGTAGACTTGAAGTTTGACCTAACTGGTATATGTAGTTGTCTTAAACTAAATGGTAAATAATAGGTGAAAAAATACATTTATAAGTAGTGGCTAAGTAGTTTTACAGTAGAGAATAGTTCAGATATTATTCCAGTCTTTGTACACCATATTTTTTGGGGGCAGGAGAGCTATCTGTCTCTATATATATTTATTTTATCTCATGCTCTGTGATTGAATTGATGCCACATAATTAACAATTAGTTTAAAAGATCAGGAATTGAACTGAAACAGGCCAGTAAATAATTAAATGGCTGGCTGTAGTATCTAACAGTATCTAGATTAGCGGTAAATATTATGAGCAAAAAAAGAAAAGCAAAGCTTTGGACCTTTACTCCTGCAATAAGTAGGTTTGAAGAAGGAATAAGCAGCTTGCTGATCTGGTAGAATGTGATAGTCTGTAGCTGAATAAACTTTTTATCCATCCAGATGACTTTTTACCTGCTTTTCCAAATGCCATCCTTGTTCTCTAAAACAATATCTCTGCCTTTGCGGATTAGTTATGGTCTCACCTTGAAGAAGAGAAGATGTCCCAGGCTGGTGGAATGCATTTCATATTCTTATCCTCTTATTCTTCTTATTTTTCTTATAGGCAACTCAGGAACAGTACAAGGATGTTGCCAGATCATGTAGAGAGAAACTTAGAAAGGAGAAAGCTCATCTAGAACTCAGTTTGACCACTGCTGTGAAAGACAGTAAAAAGTTTTTTTGTAAAGACAGTTACAACAAAACGATGGGAAGGAAAACCTCCATCCTTTACTGTATGTGGGGGGAAACATTTTAACCAAGGATGAAGAAAAGGCTGAGATACTTAATGCTTTCTTTGCCTCAGTCTTCAACAGAAAGACCTGTTATTCTAAGACCAACCAGCCCCTGAGCTTGGGGGCATGGAGCAGAACAGGCCCTCTGCAATCCAGGAGGAAGTAGTTAGTGACCTGCTGAATTATTTAGGCACTCACAAGTCTATGGGGTTGGGTGGGATCCAACCAAGGGTCCTGAGGGAGCTGGTGGAGGAGTTTGCCAAGCCACTTACCATCATTTATCATCAGTTCTGGTTAAACAGGGAGATCCCAGAGGACTGAGAGTTAGGCAGTGTGGCTACAAGAAGGGTCAGAAGGAGTATCTGGGGAACTACAGGCCT